GGGGGAGACAGCGCCGGGGCTGTCGGCCTTGTGGAAGTTGTTGAGCATCTCCTCAGAGGAGCTGTACTTGGGCTCCCCAAGTTGGTGGCCCGGGAAAGTGAGACGTCCAAGATCTCGGAGGAGGAGAAGTCCTCGATGTGCTGTCTCATGGGGCACCCAGGGGTCACCTCAGCCCTGCTGTACCTCATGCTGACACTGAAACCGCCTCCCCATCAGAGCCGCCTTGGCGAGGCCACAGCTGCTTGCTGTGAGGGGGGGTGGAGAGCACACATGGCTGGCTGGGCTGAGAAGTCACTCTGCCTCCGCCTCCTCTGGAGCTCCGCTGGGCTGGCCAGGGGTAGGCCGGCTTAAGGGCGGGGGGAGGCAGCCAAGGGATGGCACAGGTGGTGCCCCGCTGCAGACAGCAAAGGCCCGGTAGGAGGGGAGGGGAGAGAGGGGAGGGGGAGGCCAGAGGGCTTCAGCTCCCCTTGGCAGAAATGGCCGAAGCTCATCAGAGGAGGGGCAGAAAGGGGGAAGGGTGCAGCCACAGCCCAGTCACACAAAGGGAAGCTGGAGAGAAACTGAACTGTTCTGAATATACTATACTCACTAAATGAACATTATGGTAAACGACACAGCTCAATTCCAATGCAATGTCACACGAAATAATTAAATAAAAATGAAAATAAATCAAAATCTATAAAAAATCAATATAACAATGCAATTGGAAACATTGAAACGGAATCATGAAATATTTAGTATAGCGTGTGTTGCTTTTATGTCCATCAGATGGCGCTGGAAATATTGAAATGGAATCATGAAATGTTTAGTACAGTGTGTGTTGCTTTTACGTCCACCAGATGGTGCTGGTTTTCAAAAAAGCATATTTTTACAAAAATCATGTTTTTACCTGTCACAGGTGTGACATCTATATAATATACATATATAAAAACATTCGTGTATTCGAATGCAACATTTTGTCAAAATTTCAAAGCAATCGATGAAGAACTTTAAGAGATTAGTGATTTTGAACAAACAACCATTACATTTTTATTTATATAGATAAATGCTTGTAAGAAGCTTTTAGAAGTAACAAATCTGAGAGCCTTAAAAAAAACTATTGGCAGCACAAGGACCAATTACTGAAGCAGGATTTGTATGTTATCACCTGAAAGCTGAAAAATTCAGACTGGAGCAACTGGAATGGAAAATTAAACCGATGGTTGTTTTCTATTCCAGCAAAGGCCAATTATTCTTTCTAAACTTTATCTCCAATTTTAGATTCACAGTTCTAATGTATATAAAGGAGCCACACACTTTAAACAAAAAAACCTTTCTTTATAGTTGTCAGGGAAATGTCCCTATACATATTTATCTCATAAAGCAGGTAAAACCTGTGGGATACATCTCCAAGTTTACTTATTATATTTAACTATGCACAATAAATTTATCAAAAAGCTAATGCTTAATGATGCACACCAAAATTACAAAAATGAAGGAACTTTTGCCCAAATATACATCTCCCGTAATTCATTTATTTTATACAGATACTGTTGGCAGTACAAATTGATATATTCAGGGTATTATGGGATAGGCCCCCGTTCAGACCCTAAAGCACATCTCATTTATTTCAAAAGTTTAAATTCTAGGTAAGAACTATTTAAGGTGACAGTGCAACAACATTTTGTACCACTTACACTATCTTGTTCCATTATTGGACCCACAAGTTGAATAAATAAATTAAAGGGGGAATTATCCTATCTTTTTTCTGAGACATAAGGTTTTGCTCTTTTGCAAGATCAATATTTAAAAATTCATAGTGATGAATCTCAGGATATGTAAATGTAAAATCATCATTACTATAATCAGAGCATAGAACATAGAGATCCTCTCCCTAGTCATCATGCCTGTTACTATATTCAAGATTTTAGTGAAGATTCACAGAAGAAATAAGGAAATTGCTGAATATTCTAAGAGAAAAATAAAATATAATGCTTGGAGTAATAGGAAACCTGGAGGTAGCAAAGATAATTTTTGCTCCTGATCCTTGAAGGAAATTTAGTCTCTTCAATTGTTGCTTTTTCTAGGGTTAGGGATAAGAAGGACTGTTCAACTTTTAACAATGGAAGATACAAAAGTTCATTATAAAACAAGAATGTGGCCTTATGGATTCTCAGTATACAATGCCCAAGTAGTAACACAAATGAGTTAATAAGTCTTCAGAATTAGCAAGTTGTTAACAACACAACTTTCTTTGGGGATTTACAAATGAATTGCATCAGAAAAGTAGGAAAGAATCTTTTGGGATTAATTATTGCATTTAAAAAACCACATCTATTTTAGAAATTTTTCTATCTCATAGCACAAAATATTTCAACTTACCTAGAGGGCAGATTTTTGAGCTGTAATTAGGAGGAAAAATATATTGGCTCAATGGGATGTGTTTTAAAGAAACCAATATCTTGCTGAAGATAAATGTCTGCTTCAGACATTCTCCTAGATTTCAGAGGAAAGATGTTCTTTTTTCTGATATTCTTTTATATTAAAATATAGACAAGCTTCATAGAATGTAGTAAATAATATCATCGTGTCATTTTAACTCAGACTAATCTGAGAACCTAGTGTATGTAGATCACAAAGCATAATTTATAGTTTGCTCCTAGGTATCAGTATAGCTCCTGTGAGTTACTCAACTGTGAACATCTTAAATGGAAACCAGTCACTTGCATTATACAAAGGGAATCTGTGGTTTAGCCTTGACCTAGTGGGCTAGTTTAATCAAGTGAGTTTGGACTCTTTTTCTCCAAGGTGAATTATGGTGAAATATTTGGCATTATTCTTTGGGGAAGTTAAACATTTGGATGCTTGTAAAGAGGTATTACATTATCTCACAGTGACTTAAAAATATTTTAGTGTGCATGTCTGATTTTATTGAGTAAAACAGTTTGTAGAGGTTAATTTAGTCTTGTCTAAGGAATACATTTCTTCTTCATGAAATATATATTTGCTTCTCAAGACCACTATTTACATAAACTATGAGAAATTGTGAGGATGCAGATTTTTTTCCTGTTTACAGGTATTTAATTGTTCTACATAAAGACTTCAAGTGCCAAGGATGTAGATTAGATGTTTTAAGGGTAGGCTAGAGAAATAAAGACAATATTTGTGTACTTAATTGACTTTTATTTCAAGTTCCAGAAGACTATATTGTAAGCTAGTGACTCCAAAATTACATGTTCTATATTTTATATTCTGAGATAAAAATATGTGGAAACCAAAATTATTTCATTCTTGATTTCACAAGAACTGTGACTGTGTTGCACTGTATTTCAAACTTATACAATCAAATAAATATAATTACAATGTACTCAATATTCCAGACTGATTGACAACAACTCTTGTACAAGAATGTGTTAAGATTAAGATTCACCTTTCTTCAAGTACTGTCCTCACCAGTTATTTATCTTCTGATTGATTCCAAGAGCAATTTCATTTTCAAAAAGCTTTATTTAAAACAATGAATGCAGTATGGGATATTGAGCGATAACCAGATATTCAAGCATAGTCAATTTGTACATAAGGAGCTAAAAGTTACTTTTGAGAATTTCACATAGTTTTCAAAGAAAGTGACCTAATACTGCAGATTTATCTGTTTTATTTAAGTGACTCAGTTTGGTGTATTGGATAAGGTATCAGACTAAAACATGTAAGTGTGAATAGATTTTGAGTTCTAGTTTTGCTTTAGGCACAAAGCAAACTGGGTGAACATGATCCACTTGTCCTCTTTCAGCCCTAGAAAGAAAGCTATGACAAACCATTCCCCCCAAAACTGAAGGCACAGATACTTACTTCATTTAGAAAAATCATAAAGAAGCATGTGGTAAACAACAGGAAATAGATAAAAAAGAGAAATGTGCATAACTTATATTGTAATATAACTTGAATGCCTCATCTCCACTACATAGCAGATAGCAGAGGACAAGGGGTAACTTTCTTCCTTTCAGGCACATCATATTAGAGCTAATCTCCTTGTTCTCTGATGAGAATAATAGTGAACATCACCCACCTACAGGGTATTTGTCTCCTTTTCACATTATTGAAGACTTGAATGGGTGCTTTATAATTTCACATTTGAACTTTCCCCTTTCTTGTTATATATTCTAGAACTTATGTGATATTTCATTAAATGGAAATGCTGGGGATAGAAAAGGAAAACCAGTCAAGTATCAGAGAATTTATCCTTCTTGGTTTTGGAAATCTTCCCGAAGTGCAACCTTTTCTTTTCTGGTTCTTCTTGGTGATTTATCTGATGACAATATTTGGGAACCTCCTCATATTTCTGCTAGTTGTGGCCGACAGACATCTTCACACCCCAATGTATTTCTTCCTGTCAAATTTGTCTTGCCTGGATACTTGCTACAGCTTTAATTTCTTGCCCAAAATGTTGACCAATTTGCTGACTGGAGAGAGAACCATTAGTGTGACTGGATGCCTAGCCCAATATCATTTCTTCTGCATTTGTGCATCAATAGAAACATACCTTTTAGCTGCAATGTCTTATGATCGCTATTTGGCAATTTGTAGACCTTTACAGTATGCTTCTATTATGAACAGCAGATTCTGTTTCCGACTCATGGTTGCAATAGGCATAAACAGTTTGATATTTAATGTCATTCTTGTAACTGTTGTGGCTCAATTAACCTTTTGTGGGCCTAATGTCATAGATCATTACTTTTGTGATTTATATCCACTGATGAAACTCTCCTGTAGTGACACAAGTCTCTTTGAACGCTTTACTTTTTGCATGACCATTGTTTTCACAATTCCCCCATTCCTGTTGACCCTCACTTCTTACATTTGCATCATCGTCACCATCTTAAATATCAAATCCACTACGGGAAGGCATAAAGCCTTTTCAACATGTTCATCTCATCTCATGGTAGTTTGTCTCTTTTATGGCACATTATTCATTGCCTATGCATTGCCAGACACCCCTACCCTAAGATACCTCAATAAAATCATTTCCATTTTCTACACAGTCATGACTCCTCTAGTTAACCCTCTTATCTACACTTTGAGAAACAAAGAAGTTCATAAAGCATTAAGACGAAATTTGGGGAAAGTGATTATTTTTTTGTCATTTGTCACTTGATACTGACGCTTTTCAATTCTTTGGCAATCAAATTTTAACAAATACTTGGCAATCAGTTGTCAGTAATGAACTGCTATTCTGTTCATTAGAATTGCCTAAGAGTTTGAGCTTGGATCATGGTTGAAAGAGTTTAATTTACTTCATGATAGAGTCCAAATGCAACTTACATTTCATCTTCTCCAGCTTTATCTGACCTTGACCTAACTCTTTCTTATCATATGGTCATTACTTTCAATGATTTCTTTTAAAACAGATTTGAAAGTTGTTGCTATTCTTTTCAGCAGAATTTGGATATTTCTCTGTATAGTTTATTTTTATCTACAATATTTAATGAATTCACTTTGCTGGATACTTTTAGACTTTTCATATAACTTATAAATTAAATAAATTAATTACTGAAGTTGTGTTTAAATTGAAAATGAGAATTGCCTCACTTTTCATGACCTTTTCTTTAAAAAGCACAGAAAAATACTATAGAAAAAAAAATATTTATTTATCAGCACAAATAAAAAACAACACAAATATAACAAAGGCAACAGTAAAAATATTGGGTTTCTGTCGTGATGGACTCTTGTGAAGAGCCGATTGACAGATGATGGAAGCAGTTAGCTTCCTCCCATAATTGGGGCTTACCAGGGGTTGTGACTATATATATATATATATATATATATATATATATATATATATATATATATATATATATATATACATACATACATACATACATACATACATACATACATACATACATACATACATACATATATATATATATATATATATATATATATATATATATATATATATATATATATATATATATATATATATATGTGTATATATATATGTATATATGTGTATATATGTGTATATATACATACATATATACATACACATACATACACATACACACACCCACACACACCCACACATACACACCCACACATACATACACATACATACAAACACCCACATACACACGCACACACACACACACACACATATGTAGTAGGTTTATTTGTTAGTTTTATCTAATATAATTTTAATAAAATAATCAAAAAGAAAAAAAAACTATTATGTGTTTTACAATGATAATTTATTTTGATTGACTTTATTCTATTGTTATATATCCTTAAATTATTACATGTTTCCCTGAAAATAACACAGGATCTTATTTTCTTTCGACCCCCAAAATAAGCACTTGGCCTTTATTATTTTTGAGATGCAGGAGGTGGCAAGCATGGTCATCTCATGACTGCTGCTCTGTTGCAATATTTTCAGCAAGGGCTTATTTTGGGATTTATTTTAGTGCATGCACTCAAAATCCCAATTGGGTTTATTATCTGAAAACCTGTGAAAAAATTGTGAAAAAAATAAATACAATAACTGTTGCTTGAGTTTGCCAGTTTGACAAGATGTATAAAGGAAGTTTAATTTATTTAGTTAGTGGAAGATTTTTCAGTATGTACTGCAAATGTATTATTTGTACAAAGTGCTTACCCCCTATGACAATTCTTTGTAAACCACAATGTATTTTCACATTTGTATTTCCTTGAATTCCTGTGATAAATGTAACCCCAGTTTGGAGTTATGCAAACTAATAATCAGGACCTGGTGATATCACTAAAAATATATCTCAAAGCAACCCATCTGACCTTTGAAGCACATGCAAAGTCTGTAGGTCCTGCCTTTTCTTGAAATTAGAAATAAAGTATTTTTTTCAGAATGCTAGCAATAAAAAAGGTATACATTAGTTTTACTACTAGTACATAAATGTGAGCCTTTGGATTCTCAGGATGAATTGCTCAAATAATATTGCAAAGGAGTTAACCATTCTTTACAATTAGAATGCTCTGAATTCAAGAGAAATCCCTAGACTCCTTTTTGGTTCATAATCAAATTGCATCAGATAAGCAGAAAAGCAGTATCAGATCTCCCAGGGTTAATTATTTTAAATTTTATCAAATGTTATTTTAGAAATAACTTAATCTCAAAGCAGAAAATGCTCTAGCTTGCCTGGAGTAGTAATTGGGTGGGTGGGTGGGTGGGAGAAAAACAGTATTGATTTTTTGGGACCTCAATAAATTAAGCAATTTGCTACTAATTAATTTTAGACAGTTGCATGGATTTTGGAAAGATAGTACTCTTCTAATGTTCTTTTTCACTAAAACATTTGTTGGCTTCATAAATCTTAGTAAGTACTATAAATTTATATCATAATATCACTTTATTTCCACTTGATCTGGGGAATTACAGTAGTTTATAGTTTACTCTTATATAGGAACCCAGCCACTGGTTTAATTTAGCAAATAATTTTAAAAGAAATAAGCAATTATGTATTAAATAAAGCCAGACTAGACTACATTAAACAAAAGAGAAGTTGTTTCCTTTACTGATGTCTAGAAAAATATTTGGTGCTATCCTTGAATGGATATAAATGTTCAGTTTGGGGTTAGGGTTAGGGTTATTTATTTATTTATCATTTATTCAATTCATATAACTACTTCATCTGATATATATGATAAATCAAGAATATATTCATGTTACACTAGAGTAATTAAACTTTAGAAACACCATCCTAAGAGAGGAAATGACTACTTGTTGTATTAACAAGAATCATAATTCTGTTGCAATTAGTTTCCATATTTAGTTTAGTCTAAGCTGCTAGTTTTGTGCAAGAGTAGATTCAATTTCTCATACAAAGCAATATGTTTTATAGGAGGGCTAACAACAAGAGAACAGGACTCTTATCAACAATTATGGTTATCAACTAGAACATTTATGCACATACATTCAGGCATATATACATTGAATAATTAATTTAACTTACTTAATAATCAAAATAAAAGGAAAAAAGAATGATAATTTTGATAAATTAAACAATGTGGTTGGCTATAAAAACATATTGCAAGAGCTGAATACGAATACAAATATCTTCCTGGTTAGCAGATCACACCCAAATCACTACTCCACTTACAATCATGCAATTTGGCAGTTTAAATCTGACCAGGCTCAAGATTCACTCAGCCTTCCATCCTCCTTCCAATATGCTAATACTGTAAACCACTTAGAGTGGTCTACAAAGCACTGTAAAAAGGTAGATAAGTTTAAGTGCTATTGCTATTGCTTTACAAACTTTTAATAGTATTTACACAATTTTACTATTGAAAAGTTGTCTTCACCATATTTTATCTGCAAATGGTTATTAACTAGCAGAAGCATCAATGCATGTCAGCAAAATCATTGAAATAAGTACTGCAGTGAAATATGAAGAACTGACTCAGTCACTATGTTTGAAAAAGGACAAAGATGATGCTGATGTAAGATTCCCATAAATATCAAGGAAGGCAGACCCAAATTCTAGCCAAGGATATAGTCTTCTTATATTTATGTTTTTAATGACAATAGGCAAGGATTAAAAAATATTCTAAACAAAACATCTTTGTTATTGTGGGGGTGACATGGTGGTATTTCTGGAGATCCCATTTAATGAATCTTTGTAGTGTTAAGTGAGCACACTTAATATCAAATAATTGCTGGTTGTGTCAATATTCGTAGTATCAATTCAGGTTTATTAATTTATGCCTTCCAGAAAAAAGTGTAGAATTGATGATATCTTCTGTAACTGATTATTCTACTTTCAGTGTCCACTATTTCAGCAGTCCTAGTAAGGTGTTTCTGTCAAGTAGTATATTCCTCAAATGGAACCCTTTAACACAATATGTTGAATAAAGCTAAGTACCCTTTAATAATATTAAGATTTAGTTTTCATTTAATTTTAATTTATTGCTTAGTCCTTCTACCTTTAAAGAAGATTCCTAACCGGTTTCTCTTTCAATTGTATGGTCCCCCCCACCCCACAATTTTACTAAGGAAATATATTCTTTTCATCTTTATTCAAGAAGCATGGTGAAAAAGTCTTATGAAGATTCAAGTTGGATTGCTTTATATTTTCAAGCAGTGATCTTTTTCAATAAGCAAAACTGTTTATAATCAGCAACTATTAATAATTTTATCCTCTTTCTTAAATTGGTGATCATCCTCTACTCATAAATATGATTTCTATTGGTTGTTTCTTTTGTGTGAAAATATAATTTTATTCCAAACTTAGCTTTTCTAATGGTTCATTTATTATAATTTTCTGCAGATTTTTTAATATGATGATTTTAGTATGATGGTGAAGGAAATATTGTCACCATAACCACTGGTTTAGCAAAAACATTTTTGCTAATTATACTTTCATTATGAAAAATGACAGTATCACTATTTAAGTTAGGTGAAATAGCATCTTATTCCGAGATCTGTATATGTTTCTTTGTCATAAAATCATTTTCCCTATTGTTAGTTGTACTTAATTTATCATTATGTTAATATAATATTTCATATTTTTATAGATTAGAGATGTAGACATTCAGGACAATTACAGAGAAACAGAGTAATATCTTTCCTATCATCACCATTGTCACAAAAAATGGCACAGGTCTAAACTACAATTGCTATATGTTTAATGTTCACTGTAATTCTCATTATTTTCCCAGGGTATATATTCCAAACACATATACTGAATAAAACCAGATGAAAAGATGCTTCCTTCTTTTGCCAATTTCACTTTTTAGCCAAGACACAGAGAAAAGAATTCCTGGTTCATTTGTAGAGAAGACCTTCAATTCTGTGAAGACTAAGATTGCTTTTTATAATAAAGATGGGTTTCTAGTGGAGCACACTACTGAATGATGTCCTGATTATATTCTAACTTTGGTAAAATACATATTAATCAAAAGAAATGTTGTATATAGACAACAGAAATGAGACAGGCATCACAAAATTCCTATTCTTAGGATTAGGGAATCCTGCTGAACTGCAGCCTTTTCTGTTCTTGATTTTCCTGCTGATTTATCTTGTGACATCAATTGGAAACATCATCATTATTATATTAGTTGCAGCTAACCAACACCTTCATATCCCAATGTATTTCTTCCTTGGGAATTTGTCCTGTGTAGAGATTTTCTATTCTTCAACTATCTTACCAAAAATGTTATCTGATTTATTAGGTGGAGACAGAACTATTACTGTGAGAAACTGTCTATTCCAATATTATTTATTTGGCTCTTGTGTGGGTGTAGAAACATTTCTTCTTGCAGCAATGTCCTATGACCGTTATTTGGCAATATGTAGACCTTTATTCTATACTTCTCTAATGAATAAGGAAGTTTGCTTCCAACTTATAGTTGTAGCATGGATAAATGGTTTTATGGCTAATAGCATTATTGTCTTTCTAATAGCTCATTTTTCATTCTGTGGACCTAATGTGATAGATCATTATTTTTGTGATTTAAATCCTCTGAAAAAACTGTCTTGCAGTGATCCTAGCTTATTTGAACTCATTGTTCTTCTCTTGAGTTTCATTTTTACTATTGCTCCATTTTTCTTGACCTTCAGTTCTTACATTTGTATCATAGGCAGTATCCTAAAAATCCAATCTATTATTGGAAGGCAAAAAGCTTTTTCAACCTGCTCCTCTCATCTCATGGTGGTTTGTCTTTTTTACAGCACTTTAATCATTGTCTATATATTGCCAGACACCCCAACTCTGAGGCACCTCAATAAAATCTTTTCAATTTTTTATACTATCCTGACTCCTTTGGCCAATCCCCTCATCTATACTTTAAGAAATAAAGAAGTTCACCAGGCTTTAAGAAGAACTGTTGATAAGTTGAGAACTTTTTTTGAAGGCTTTTAGGCAGAAGATAAGAACACAAATAATGCCCAGATGGATCAGATGCCCAGTCTATCTACTCCAGCAGTCTGTTTTTTCCAATGGGCAACCAGATACATAGGGAAGCCTGCAACTCTTCCAGAATATGGCCTTCATAGACAACCACACTCATCAAGATTTCCATGGCTTCCATGGAGCACTCATGAAGGGATAGTCCAAAGAGATTCTTTACCTTTGACTGTTGAAAATGTTGAACATATTTTATAAACTAGGGATAGTTACTGTCTTTGCAACCACAACTATACATCTCTGGGTCTGTTTGTTTGTTTTGCTTGTCAAGGATGTAAAACTGTGACGAAGTGGTGAAAATGACTTTTACTGTACATTTTGCACTTTCCACATTTTATAAAGAAAAGTAATATCAATATATTAAACTTAGTACACTGTCTTTTTTTTTAACAAAATGAATTAATTGAGAAAATGCAACAACTTAATCAGGAATGTAATTGTATTTTAACTTCTGATTAATCATTGTAACTTGATTCTAATTCTAAATTTATCTGTCATGTAGATGTGACCTTATTTACAGTAGTTTAGAAGGGACAAGGAGGAATGGGATGAATTATATGGAAACAAAGTTGTAAATTTCCTACCATAACCACTGTGATTAAAAACAATGTAAAATTAAATTTCTTGATTTTGTTGGCTATAATTATTTTCAAATTTTAGAAAATATTAATCAACAGAACATTGTTTGAAATTCTAATTTTTTGAAGTTCCCAAGACAAAAATAAATTAAATAGATTGTGTAAAACTGGAAGATTTTCTTTTTATACCAATCATTTCAACAATTTAATTCATTGGCTAAAAAGATGCTAAAATATAGTAATTGATTTTTGATAAGGCATTGGATTCTGGGTGGAATAAGTTACTTTTTAAAATAAAATTGGGATTTATCATTGTAACATTCAGTGGAGAAATACAGGTAAATGATTTCTTCATTATATTTTAAGTGGTACACTGAGTAAAGTTCTGACAAGATTGCTGCATGCTGAGAAAGCAAATGAGACAGGTACCACAAAATATGTCCTACTTAACTATTTCCTTCTTGGTGATTAATTTGTATATATAAAATTATATATAATTTTAAACAACAATAAGAACCAATACAAACGAAAGTAGAAAAAGAAAGAAAAGGGAAGGTTGTGAGATTCTTCAGACCTCAGGGTTGTTGGATTTTTTTGTCTTTTTGGAAGACAAAAAGACATCATTAATTTTTAAGGATTCGTAGCAATCAACCTCACAATGTATAAAATTTAGGCAGAATGCAATAATACATCTTAGAAATTGCAGTGTATTATGTCTCCTTACCACTCATCCTAACCCACTGCTACTGATAGCTGATTTTCACTTAATTTAAATTAAAAAATCAAGGAGAAAAATAATGTTTTCAATTGTTTAAAAATTCCAGAAAAAATAAAATGTAATGTATAGAATTATAGAACTAACAGTCAAGACCAGCTGGTAGCACAAAACATATTTGTAGGCCATCCATATATCTTTTGAAGCAGATCAGTGGTGGGTTCTGGCTTCTGTTACTGCTGGTTCGTTCAGGATTGCGCTTTGTGCATATGCACAGTAGTAAAAAAAAATGTTTCTGCCCATGCGCAGAAGCAACAAACAAGATGTGTCTATGGTGCTGATGATAGAACTGGTTCAGGGGCATGGCCGGCTGAATTACTACCTACTTGGCTGAACCGGTCCAAACCGGTGGGAACACACCTTTGAAGCAGATTCAGTGTTGACAGTTTTTGCCTTTTTACAGCATTAAACAAAAATTTTCAACTTGCTAATCATAGTGTTATAGATTAATTTTGCACAAATAATATTGTAAGATGGTTAATCGTTCTCAGAATTAAGACAACCAGCTTGCTGTAATAATTAGGCACTTGGCTATAAACCAGAAGTCCGTGAGTTCTAGTTCTGCTTTTAGGCACAAAGTCAGCTGGTGTCTTTGAACCAATCACTTTTTCTCCTAGGAAGCAGGTAAACTTTGCTAAGGAAACTGCATGGACTTGTCCAAGAAGTTGCCAGGAGCAAACACTGACTCAAAGGAAAAGAATCCCCCCCCCCAAAAAAAACCCTAAAGGATTAGTAGTTTTTGGCAATAAGTAATCTCAAAATTAAAAAAAAAACAACCACCATAAGATTTCCTTTGTGGTTCATAGTCAAATTACATCAGAAAAGTAGCAATGAATCTCTTAGGTATAATTATAATTATAATTTTATGAAAACTTATTTGAAATATTTTCAACTCATGTGGGAAATTCTCTAAATTCTCTTTAGAATACAAATAATTGAGTGGTAATTTGAAACAAAAACAGTATTCACTTTTCTCGTAATCATTAACTTGCAACAAATACATTACACTTAGATTTTGTAAGGATAATTTTTTTCTAAAGTTTTTTCCACAAAAATACAGATTGGTTTTATAAATCTTGGTAAGGTATATCATGATTTCATTTTAGTTCATCTGGAAAGCCAGCTTGTATGGTTTATAAGTCATGGTATGTAGTTTACTTTTAGGTTTAAGCCTGTGATTTACCCAACACAACATTTTAAAACAAACTATATGTTGTGTATTGGGCAAAGTCATTTCACTTCTCATGCATCCAACAGGTTTGGACTTTTTCATCTGAGCTGATTTTGACAAAACATTTGGTGGTGTACTTTGGGGCAGATATATCGCTTTTATAATTATGAAGACAATTTTTTTTCAATAAATACGAATTGAAACAACTTTAAATATGGCTTACTATCAACATTCACTATTGAATAATTGATTGATTCAAGATTGCCTTATATAGGGATGTATTTTAATGTGCTTTTAATGTGCTTTAATTTACTTTTAACGTAAAAAATTTCAGAACTGCAGCATGCAATTCCTAATACTTTTTTAAAAAGCAAAACATAATATCATAACTGCTAAGCTCCTTTATGCTTAGCAGTATGATCAATATGCATCTTTCAAGCATCTGTAGACTAGAACACTACTTCCCCTCCCCTCTGCCAACTTGAAGCATTTTACCTGCTCAGTTCCCTTTCCCTCAATGGTCTAGTTAAATCTATTGGAGTTTCTTGAGAGACAGTGTTTGCCTAATGTTTCCACATTTTTTTGTGAAAATAGAGCCACATCATCAGCATATAAAAGAAGTGGATTATTGATCTTGGCAATCTTGGAAAGACAGAAGCTTGGAAAGAAGAATCTGTCTGGTAGGGAGCTTTAACAGAGGTTAAATAAAGTAGGAATTAAAATGCAGCCCATCACTTTGGAATGATTAGGTTAGATATGTTGACTAATGATTAGGTTAGATATGTCTAACTTTAACCAAGGAATTATTATAAAATCATTAAATTAGGAACAGGAAGTACCTATTCTTATTTGTGGGCAAGTTGGAGAAAAATATAAAGAACATCCCATTGCAATAATAAAAAGTAG